TGTAGTTTCGCATTTTGGCCCTGGTGGATTTTTCAAATATGAGAGCTAGTGTGCAATAAAATTCATTTTTGGATAGCTGAGGATTAAAATAGCCTTCCTATTGGGTTTATATGAACATCAAGATTATGTAATGTATGTAATATAGGCTGTTTTCTGTATGACAGTCCGTATTTGCATATCCATACCATACATTGGTCCGGCAATTATTGTAATGTTTTTTTCCAACTTTTTGTCGCACGAACTTTGTAATTAAATTTTACGAAAAAATGAGGCGAAAGACACCCATTTTTTATTTGATTATTAGGAAGATTAATGTCACCAGTTTTTAAAAAGGTATCACTCATTGGCATTGAAATTCTAGTTTGATCCAAATTTTGGGGGGATATGTGACATTTTCACCCCCCTTTTTGCAATATTTTATGGTTAATAAATGCAGAATGTTGCCATGGATACACATAGAAGAAATATATTTCACCCTTTTAACTTTTGAAAATCAAATCTATGGAAGATACTGATTACATACATATGCACATGTACAACACAAACAGTTAGGTTAATGTATTAGAAATCCAGGAATAGGAGATGATAAAATATTTTGTGGTTCATTTTTAATCTTATATTCTAACTGTGGAGTGCTACCTAAGCTCAATTTTATGAGCAATCAAATCCGGACTTCAAATTTATTGTGAAACTACCTATTCTAGAGGAAGTGTGAATCAGATACTACAAAAATTCCAAAGAACTGTTAGGGTATATACAACCTAAGCCTCTTTCATCTTGTAGTCCCCATTCCAAACTAAAAGACAAATAAAGAGAGTTGGTCCTGCTTTATTTCATAAAGAAAGAATGGCCAACGTAGATACAAGTATCGTGTCTTAGGGAGGGATAAATCGCCTGTTTTAAACATCACTCTGATTCAAACAAACAATTCTCTAGCTGAAACTGACATTATCAAGATGCTTGATTTCTTAATTGACAACATATTTGTTACGTTTGGAGAACGTGTTTTTTTCAACAAACAACCGGCACTCCCAACTGTTCTGCTCTTTTTGTCTTCTTATTCCTTTATTCATATGAGGCAGACTTCATACAAAAGCTTCTTAGGAATAATGAAAAGAATCTAGCATTATCCTTTAACGTCAGTTTCCGCTATATGGATGATGTCCTCTAAATATTCAAAGTTTGGTGACTATATATTAAACTCATTTATCCCATCGAACTTGAGATAAATTTGCACTTCTTCGTACTATGAACATCAAAATTATTTATTTTGTAAAAATATTTCCTTTCTCCATTTGAACTGTACACGTATACCCAACAACAAAATTATTTTCATTTACCTGTGTTTAAAGTAATTGCAAATGGCTGATATTTTTGTTCAAGCATATTTTTTTTCTTAAATTGTTTAACATTTCACAGCGGTATAACATGTTACTTTAATTATTCTTCCCTTAGTTTATTAGTTTGTTTTGACATTGCATCATAGATCAAATTTATTTCAGTGTATGTTCACTGGTGTTGATATGTCCTTTGATTGAGTTAAGCCATTTCAATTGATATTTTATAGTGTGTCTTTCTATGTTGTAATGTTACACTATTGTTTCAGATAAGGGCGAAGGTTTGGTACCATTAAAACGTTTAAACCCGCTGCAATTGTTTGCACCTGTCCTAAGTCAGGAATCTGATGTTCAGTAGTTGTCGTTTGTTAATGTGGTTCATAAGTGTTTCTCGTTTCTCGTTTTTTATATAGATTAGACCGTTGGTTTTCCCGTTTGAATGGTTTTACACTAGTAATTTTGGGGCCCTTTATAGCTTGCTGTTCGGTGTGAGCCAAGGCTCGTTGTTGAAGACCGTACTTTGACCTATAATGGTTTACTTTTATAAATTGACTTGGATGGAGAGTTGTCTCATTGGCACTCATACCACATCTTCTTATATCTATATAAGGCATACAACAGATGCAGTTAAGTCTGCCTCATATCTTGACTTATACATCTAGAAATTGACAATGAGGGTCGGTTGAGAAACTTTACGATAAAAGAGATGATTTCAGCTTTCCAATTCCGAACTACTAGTTCTGTGTAGCAACACTTCAGCAGCGCCTGCATATGGAGTATATCTCACAGTTAATAAGATATTCCAGGGCTTGCATTTCCTATCATGATTTCCTTAGTAGAGGGTTGCTGCTCACAAGGAAACTATTGAACCAAGAGTTCCAAGTGGTGAAGTGGTGAACCACAATCCCGTCCACTTTTACCCGAATGTTATCTGTTGAATATAAAGACTTATAACGGATTTGTTCTTACATGAGCAACACTACGGGAGCACCTGAGATCACCCCCGGTTTTTTGGTGTTGCTCGTGTTTCTCAGTCTTTAGTTTTCTTATTTTTGTTTTGTGTACTGTTGTTTGTCTTTTGGTCCTTTTTTTTTAGCCATGGCGTTGTCAGTTTATTTTCGACTTATGAGTTTGAATGTCCCTTTGGTATCTTACGCCTCTCTTTTGTATATGAATAGCATTTTTCTCTTAATTGTACCTTTTCCCATAACTAAATTGACTACCAAAGATCAGTTTATTTGGTTAATGAATAATGAAAAGGGGATATATATATATTTATACATATTGTTTTAAATGTGTTTTCATAAAAAAAATAATGAAAATCCTCATAATTTATTCCATTGTGGGTATTTGTTTTTATGATTTTTTTCCAATGGGGTCCCTTCATGTAGTTTCAACATACAAAAATGATAATACACAAATTAATCTGACATAAAACTTCATATATACACTAATTTAAATAAAAAACAAATTGTTAATAATATAAAAAGCAGTCAGATGAAACTGCACTAGTTACAACTTTTGGTCAAGTACTCTTTAACGCTAATTTTGAATTCATTTTTTAACATTATTTGGTAACATATTCCAATCTTGTATACCATTATAATAAAAAAAAGTTTCTTTTTGTTGACTCTTAAATGGTGGAACCCAGAATTTATATTCACTATTTCTTGTGAAATGATTATGACAATGTCTCACCTTTGTAAAATTTGTATACATATAACTAGGACAATGATGGTAATAAATATTATGAACATGGTTTAATCTCAATTGTTTAACACGATTTTCAATATTTATTAATTTAACATAACCAATACTATTCAATCTTTATGAATAATGGGTGCGTGATTTTCTCGCTGAGTTGAAGACCCATTGGTGGCTTCGGCTGTTTTCTGCTCTTTGGTCGGATTGTTGTCTCTTTGACACATTCCCCATCTCCATTCTCAATTTTATTATTGTGAACTTTTGATCTATATCCAGTATTTTTTTTATAAATCTAACACATTTGTTTTGTAATACTTGTACCTTATCTTTATACTTTTTACTGACACCAACATACCATGCAGAACAGGCATAGTCGAAATGACATTAAATTAAACTGTAACTAAATTCTTTCTAGAATGTTCTGATAAATATTTGGCCTGTCTGTATATGAAATTCAATCTTGAGATTATCTTTTGTATAATTATTATCTAAAAAAAAATCTCCAGAAAGAGAATTATCAATACTCAGGCCTAAATATTTCACACAATTCTGTGATGAAATTGTGTGATTATTACAAGTTACATCAAAGTTACGAATTTTCGACAATTTACCTTTAGACCCAAAACAGAATAGTTTCTGTTTTCCCCAAATGAAATGAAAATTTATTATCGATCAATCATTTACTGCAAGATTCAAGTTCCTTACCCAGTTTCTGAGATATAACTTCCGGGTTCTTATGAGAGTATAATATGGTACTATCGTCTGCATATAACAATATTTTGCAGTCTTTACTAATGCTTATAGACATGTCATTAACATAATACAGGAATGATAATGGGCCTAAAATACTCCCTTGTGGTACTCCACATGTAATATATCTTAAATCAGATCCAGTACCATTAATACTAACTTTTTGTTGTCTATTACATAAATATGATTCAAACCATTTAGTACATTTGACACCCATTATTTGTAGTTTTTGACACAAAATATGATGGTCGACCGTGTCAAAGGCTTTTTGCAAATCTAGCATTATCCTTCTAGTATCGAGTCCCCGCTCAGCAGATTAATTTTTAATATGATCTAATAGCTATAGATGAATCAGTCATGTATCTGTGGAATAAGCAGATCTGAACCCAGTTTCTAAATTATAAAGTAAATTATTTTCCACCAGATGTTTCTAAAATTGTGAATATACTGATCTTTCTACAATTTTAGAAATTACTACTAAAATACTAACTGGTCGATAATTTCCGACATCCAATTAACCTGCTATTTTTCTTATATATAGGACATACTCTAGCTGTTTTCATCTCTTCAGGTACTATGCCTGAGGTCATCGACAAATTAACTATATCACGGTAATTGGTTTTGCTAAAATGCTCGAGCCATCTCTTAAAAACCTTGGTGGTATTCCAGGCTAATCCAATACCTTTTGCTTGGATTGAGTTGTTGTAACTGTTTAAGAATATATTCTTCAGTCACAGGTTTTAATTTAAAACTCAAATCATTACACTGTCTAACAATATTATAAAAAAAAATACACCGTGTATAAAAGCCTCAACAGGATTCTACACGTACCAATACAGATACAGAAATTAAAACTGATTTGAAAATCAAACCAAAACACAAAAACTTGTACAAACCCAGTTAGGTTATATCAGTGACATATAATACAATTGTATTATATGTCTCTGGTTATATCAAGGATTTGTATACTATACTATACTACCTTGGTTATATTATTAACTCATGTTATATTCCATATTTAAGCTGTTTTTCGTTTTTTTTTTAAATCTATATTGTGTAAACGTTTAATGTGCTAATCATTGTACTGATTTTGCCCATGATGGGTCCTCTATTGGAAATAAAAAAAATTAGCTATTTATCTGTTTATCATATAGTACGAATTGGAAAAGGTCCGAGTTTGTCGTACACCCGTCGTAACAAATGACTGGTTTTCGTTTGAGGGTATTTGTTACCAGATTTTCTTCAAGCATGGATCAGTCCTTTAGATGCATTTCGATAGATTCTGAAAAATTCAATGACAACAGCATTACCACCAACACTTCGGAAGAACAAAGTTCCGTAGAAGAATCAATTTCACAATTTTACAAGAATTTCAAATCACGAATAAATTCCAAGGAAGAAATAGAACCAGCTGCTAACAGTTTGCCGAAATTAAACAGAGATCTCCATTTATCCTACTTAAAGAAAGGTTTACGAAATCTCTCCGAGTCATACGAATGTTTGGATGCCAGCAGACCTTGGCTTTGTTATTGGATACTACATAGTCTTGAGCTGTTGGACTATCCCCTTTCTGATGATGTTATTGCTCAGGTTGCTGTGTTTTTATCCAAGTGTCAGTGTGATACAGGCGGCTTTGCTGGAGGTCCTGGTCAGGCTGCGCATTTAGCCCCTACTTATGCTGCCATAAATGCCCTGTGTATTCTAGGGACGGAGGAGGCATATAAAGTTATAAATAGAAATACCCTCAAATCATTCCTTATGAAAATGCGTACTGCTGAAGGTGCGTTTAAAATGCATGAAGGCGGAGAAGTTGATATACGAGGAGCTTACTGTGCAGCAAGTGTTGCAAAACTAACAAACATTATAACTGAAGAAATGTTCAATGGAACTCCAGAATGGATTGTACGTTGTCAAACTTATGAAGGAGGTTTTGGTGGGTGTCCAGGTATGGAAGCTCATGGAGGATATTCATTTTGTGGTCTAGCAGCTCTAACCTTATTAGGCCACACAAAACTTTGTGATATTGATAGAGTGCTTAGATGGACTGCTAATCGTCAAATGAGATATGAAGGTGGATTCCAAGGAAGAACCAATAAACTTGTTGATGGCTGTTATTCATTTTGGCAGGGAGGAGCATTTCCTTTAATACACATGATTCTATCTTTAGCAGAAAATAAGTCTCTTAGTGCAGAAAATTGGTTGTGCCATCAAAAAGCTTTGCAAGAGTATATTTTGATATGTTGTCAGCATCCAGGAGGTGGATTGATTGACAAACCGGGAAAGAACAGAGATTTTTATCATACATGTTATTGCCTAAGTGGTCTTTCAGTAGCACAACATTTCGCAGGAGGAAAGCTTGGCCATCTGACTGTTGTTGGACATGAAGAGAACCAGTTGCGACCTACACACCCAGTGTTTAACATTTGTGTAGAAGCTGTAGTTCATTCTACTTTGTATTTTAGCAGACTTCCTCAAGTTTGAATTCACATAACAAGTAGTACTTATATTAGCTTCATTCTGTTCACACATAACAAATAGTGCTTAGCTTCATTCTGTTCATTCTGTTCATGATACATGTACATGATATATATGCATTCTTTACTACACAAATAACAATATGTTTATAAATGTTGTTACTAAATATAAGTACTAAGACCATACGACCAACCCAGTGACCAAATTTATTAACATTTTGCAAGCCACTGGATAAACGCTTCATATGTTCAAAATCTATATATACATGTATTGTGAAGTTTTTGTTGTAATATGCATAATAAATGTAGTTTGACAAGTCACAATAGTTTTCTGTTACTTAGTATACATACATTGTACATATAGTTAGAATAGGCTTTTTTGAATACATATTAACTTACTATAACATGTAAATGTATTAAGTATATGTCAGAACTTAAAGTTATCAAACCAATAAACTACAATGTCCTAGTGAACTAAGAAATAAAAATTGAATATTAACATGATTGAGGGCCCTGATGGGTTATTTTCGTTCTTCGTGATCGGCGCATTTTCGCTATTGTGATCCGTTTTTCTACAGATTTATTTTTTTTTATATTTTTGTGATCTGTGATCATGGAAATTTATTTTCTGTGAATCGTGATTGACAAAAAAATCAACTCGTGAATCGTGATGAGACCCCCCCATCAGGCCCCTCATGATTAACTTTTCTACCATTAGCAAACAAAGGATTTATCACAATGTTATAAAAGTTTCTTTTTAATGTTACAAAAATATTATTACTTCCTTGTTGATTAACAAAAGCTTATTAGTTAATTGGCTGGTCCTGTATCTTTGCTTTTGGCTTGTGAGAGAGTATTTTTTTAAAACTTCAATAAGGTTTTATCTCCTACACTACAATCATGTGACCATTTCAGTACTATGCTTCCTGAAACAAAAATTTGGAGCTTATACAGTGTATGTATAGAAATTGCGTTGTCCTTTCTTCCCCCTGTCCATAGCAACCCAGCTTGATGAGAATGAAACTTGTACAGATGGAATATAATGGGAAGGGGGAAAAGTTCTATTGATTTTGGGGTCAACAGGTCAAAGGTCAGGCTCATTGTTTCTATAAATACTTTTAGGGGAAGTGGTTTCCAGATGGAAACTTTCCCTTGTCTGATTGGAATCAAACTTTAACTAATGCAGATAGAAGGTATTGATAAAGAGTAAAAGCCTGTTGATTTTGGGGTCAACATGTCAAAGGTCACTGTAAAACCATTTTCCTGAATTTTAAGTAACATTGTTACTTGAATCCCTTGCTTGAATTACTTATACAAAAGGAAAATATAGGAAAGTAAAAAAAAAAAAAATTTTATCTTGGATAAACAGGTCAAAGGTCAAGGTAACTTTTATTTTAAAAAAATAGAAAAATTAGGAAAAATTGTTTTTGGTTTTTTGCTTGATTTTTTTTGCTTGATTGGAAAGAAACTGGAACAGATGGAAGATAAAGGAAGGAAAAGAAGCCTTTTGATTTTAGGATCAATAGGTAACTCTTACTAAATATATTATTAGGATATTTTTGAAAGTTGGTTTAAGATTGTACATTTGTTGTAACTTCAGCTTTCATTTTTGGTAAATAATGAAAGTTGTCAAAATGAAAGATATAGAGAATGGTAAGAATTGATCCTGTTGTCAACTTGATTTTCAGGTCAAACAATCAGGGTCAATCATTGAAATTATAATCTTTTCTCTTAATCATTGTTAATAAATGTGTAGTTCTGAAATCTTAAGTAGGCAGTGCCAGCTTTCTATTTGTTAACTGTTTTCGTCATCTACTATTTTAGAGACAACCTTGACAAAATATGAACATGACTACTAGCGAGTAAACATGTACATTTTATACAACAATGAGACATTAACAAACCATTATTAACATTGCCTTAACAATAGACAGATGCCCATACAACCTCTAAATTGCCTAGAGGATAAAAAAAATGGGAATATATGACCATGTACTTACAATGATTATCAAAGATCTGAGATCCACACCAAATTCCTCAAATGACAAAAAAAAATGAGAAGAAAAGACAACCACTGACATGGAACAGGCACATGAGTATGCAAAAGAGTTAAACTTTTTAAAATGGGCCATGTGAACTAACGCCATCACAGTGTCTGTCATCTGTCAATGTAAACTTCTTTTCAAAAATCTTCTCTGAACCATCAAATTTATTTCCACTGAAATTAACATGAGTAATCTTTAGGGTACATGTTAATTGTATCTACTGTCATATTTTTTACATGTTTTTACATGACCAACCAACAAAATGCAAGTAATTGTCTGTTTTATTTTCTAATTGATAGAGATAATCTGATGGGACAAAATGTAAACATCTGACCACTTTTTATTAGCTCACCTGGCTGAAAGGCCAAGTGAGCATTTCTCATCACTTGGCGTCGTCATCTGTTAACTTTTACAAAAATCTTCCCCTGTGAAACTACTGGTCCAAATTTAAACAAACTTGGCCATAATCATTATTAGGGTATCTAGTTTAAAAAAAACAGGGCAAAATTTTCAGTATGTTGAGCTCTACCTATTGTTCATTTAAGTCAAAACTGTCAGACGACTTCTTATAGAAGTTATTGCCCTTTAATGCTGATTTTTAACCATTTTTTTTGCGTTATTGCCTAATACCTTAAAAACTATAATAGATAGATAGAATCTTGAACAGCAAAAATGATCAGCACGACAGGATCTACAAATAAGTCAACTTAACTGTAATCCTCAGTTGACTCCTTATTAGAGTTATTGCCCTTTAATGACGATTTTCACCAATATTTTCCGTTTTTGCCTAATATCTTTAAAACTAGAAGAGATAGACAGAAACTTTTTGGAGCAAAAATGATCAGTAAGACAAGTTCTACAAATAATTTAACATAACCAAAATTGTTAGTTTGAGACCACTTATTGAAGTTATTGCCCTTTAATAATGATTTTCCCCATGTTTTCCCATATTTGTCTGTTATCTTGAAAACTGTAATAGATAGATAGAAACTTTAAATAGCAAAATGACCTATATGACAAGATCTACAAAAAAGCAAAAATGGCTGAAATCTTCAGTCGACTAGATTTTAGCTTTTGCCCTTAATAATAATTTTTTAACATTTTTATGCATTTATTGCCTCAAAACTATAATAGATAGATAGAAACTTTAAAAAGGAAAAATTATCAGCAGGATAATATCTTCAAATATGTCAACATGACTGAAATTGTCAGTTTACTCTTAATTGAGTTACTCCCCTTTAATGATGAGTGGCCAAAGACCACAATTAATGATCCCGCTTTTCGTTGTACACGAATATAGTTCCTTTTAATTAGAGTGTATTTTTTCTTAATTTTTTTTCTTTCCCTTCCTCACTCATTTCTTAGATTTTTTTGGATGGAAATGAAAGAAGAGAGGTGAAATAAACTTTTGGATGTTATATTTTAACTGATTTTGATATGGAAAGAGTAATTAGGCCAGGTGCAAAAAGGTGATATTTACAGTTTTCGGAACATCTCTTGACTTGTCCATAGGGGTATGGATGTGTATTGGCTAAATTTGTAAGATGCTGGGGAGCGATATTTCTGAATGTTTGATATATGTTTGGACTAGTACTGTACTTTACACACACAAAATATTTGACAAAAAAAACCGGAGCATTTTTTTTAATGAAACAAAACGTTATAAAGAACTAATAGAGAATTTAATTGTGGTCTGTGGCCGAGTGTTAGCAAAATGTGACCACTGCTGCAGATGCAGGAGAGCGACACAGTCTCTTTAGAGCCTCTAGCTATTTCCACCAACATGATCAGATGGCTTCTTACAGGAGTTATTGCCGCTAAATGATTTTTGAAAATCTATAATAGATAGAGAGGGCGGGACATTTTGGCGAAAAGGATCAGCAAAAGTTAGAAGACTTGCATGCTTCATATAAAAAAGAAGATGTGGTATGATTGCCAATGAGACAACTCTCCACAAGAGACCAAATGACAGAAATTAACAACAATAGGTCATCATACGGCCATCAACAATGAGCAAATTCCATACCGCATAGTCAGCTATTAAAGGCCCCGAAATGACAAAAACAATTCAAACGAGAAAAGTAACGGCCTAACTTATGTACAAAATAATGAACGAAAAACAAATGTGAATCACAGCAACAAACGACAACCACTGAAATACAGGCTCCAGAATTGGGACAGGCACATGCAGAATGTGGCGGGGTTAAACATGTTAGCGGGCGCCCAACCCTCCCCTAACATGGATCAGTGTTGTAACACTACAACATAAGAACAAACTATAAAAATCAGTTGAAAAAGGCTTAACTCATCAGAGGGATACAAACAGAAATACATCTCCTGCTTTGTATGCAAATACCTTAAGTTAGGAAGTTTTCGTCTATTATATGTTGGTTGTCCTTGACCTCATTCTCATGGTTCAGCTACTGCTTGAAAAAAAAAAATTTTTTTGGTGTGTGAATTTCTCACTTGTAATGAGTAATAGGTTAACTATAGTTGGTAAATAGATATAAGAAGATGTGGTATGAGTGCCAATGAGACAACTCTCCATCCAAGTCACAATTTGTAAAAGTAAACCATTATAGGTCAAAGTAAGGTCTTCAACACGGCGCCTTGGCTAACACCGAACAGCTAGCTATAAAGGTCCCCAAAAATGATAGCCTGTTTTTCAGATACTATAAGCATTAGGTAAACTATTGGGTGTATGGAATGATTGTAAGGTGTACATGTCTGTCTGGCAGGTTTCATTTGAACTTTACAACGCTATCAATCTAATTATTTTTTTCAATATTTAACACTATAAGGTATGGGGGAAATCTGGATTCAGAATATTTTTTTTTGTCAACTGAATATACTTTTAGAAAAAAACCATACCCCCCCCTTGAAGTTAAATGGTCGTTCCCTTAACAGAGGGTCAATAATATTTGGTGTATGCCATGTAATGATTGTAAGGTGTACATGTCTGTCTGGCAGGTATCATCTGATCTAGACTTCATTTTCATGGTTACTTTCATTGGTTCGTTTTTTTGATACCATAAGCAATATGTAAGCTATATTTGGTGTATGGAATGATTGTAAGGTGAACATGTCTGTCTAGAAGAGTTTATCTGACCTTGAACTCATGGTATGGATCATCGATAATGTTGAGATTATGTGATACTTGTAGTTAAACCTTTATCTTTAAGACTTTCAACATACAATCAACCATGGTCAGTATTGCAGGCGAGACATATCAGCATGTGAACTCTTTTTATTTTATTTATGCCTTTCATCTTGAAAAGTATAATAGATAGAGAGAAACTTTAAAGTGCAAAACTGATCAACAAGACAAGATCCTTCCAAGTTAGCATGGCCGAAATCGAGGGTTTATGCCTTATAGAAGTGTATCCCCCTGAATGAAGATGTTTACTATTTTTTGCATTCTGGTCAAAACTATAGCAGACAAAGAAAACTTGTAGACCGCAAAAATGATCAGCAAGCCAAGATCTGCAGATATATCACTATTACCGAAATTGTCAATCGGCTCCTTGTAAGAGTTATTTAAAATACGTGTGTACTGTAAATATGTCTCTGATACAACTATTGTACATTTTGAAAGTTTTATCCGATAAAGCCTCTGCAATATTTAAATTCCGGTAGTTTTTAACAACTTTCTGATATTGACTGTGCGAGTGAAAGAAATTCCAGGGAAATTGGTCCTACCTCTTTGATGGAAAAAAAATCTACAGAAAATCATACATGAGCCATTTTCTATCAATCAATTATGCTCGATAACCCCATCATCTCTGTAAAATCACAGGGACTTTAGCAGATAAAAAAAATTAATCAATGATTTTCATTTTTTTTTCGTGTTTAGCCTATGATGCCAACTTTAATACGGTAATAATGTAAAACAAATAGACAGGAAATACGAACAAAAATGAAAAAAAAAACATTTATTAAAAAATATTTTGATCTTCTATACCTGTGTGTTATTTAAATTTCTGCAAACAGTTGTTTTGATTTTGTCTCCGTCGTCAGAATGTCGTTAACTTAAAAAAAACAATTCTATGAAACCTATCGACCAATTAAAAAATAAAGTGTTGACACAGAGATACGTCTCGCCTGTCTGCATAAAATTCAGGTTAAAAAACCCAATCTGATCGACAGCAACATTGCTAATTAATTCAAAGTCTGGACCATGAACAAGTGGGCAGGGCCTCGAAATGGTCGACATAGTGAGATGAACAGACAGTAATGTAACTTTATACAATTTTTATTATTGGAAGTAGTTCCCATCAAACTAACTTAAGCAGAAAACTTAACATTTAAAATTCCTAATTAATTCAAAGTCGCTAGACCATGACCATTGGTCAGGGCCTCGAAACAGTGGTCAAACTCATAATGCAACTTTATAGAAAATATCATTGATCTATCACAAGTAGTTCCCGTATCAAACTGACTTAAGCAGAAAACTCATCAAGAGTTGACGCCGACGACGACGACGTCGCCTGAAAAGCAATACCTGTGTCTCGCCTTCCTCGACTTTTGTTGCATTGAGACAAATACCCGTTAGCCTGAATGATCCCTACATTCGCCTCATTTCGTTCAAATTATCAAATGGCTCCTTATTACTTAGGATATAAGAGTTGTTACCCTTAAACGACAGTTTAGACTATAGATTAGCGTTTTTGCCCATCATCTTGATAACTACATTAGATCATAGTCGAGTGACACATTGACAACACCTGGTCCTGTCCTTACGCACCTATATATGGATTCGATAGACGGAAGTCGTTAAAGCAAAAATAATTAGCAAATATAAGATTATCAAATATACCAATATGACTGAAACCAACATTTGACTCCTTGTGGGAAGTGTTGTAAAAATTGGTGTTTTTTTCATTAAATCTTAACGTTTTGTTTAATTATCTCGAAAACTGTAATGTGCAGTCAAGAACTGTATACAGCGAAGTTGTTCAGCAATTAAAGATATAGAAAAACCATTAATAAACTCTTTTCAATTAATCACTTGTTAAAGGTTTTTAATGTTAATTTATAGACGATATTTCTCAAGCTAGACCATCCCAATCGACAACAAATGATGGATTTGAAACTTTAATTTTTGGAGAAGAATAACCAAATTATGCTTGTACAGGATTACCAGAGAAGCAACAGGTGTATGAATTGGTTCGATAATTTTTCTACATATAAATAATTATTCCGTTAAGAATTTTCATTCAAAATATATAAGTGTATATTTCTCGTCTATACATACTTTCTTATAGTGAGAATAACAATTTGATATTATCAACGTTAGCTAACTTTATTGAGGTGAATTTGATTTTTTTTTAAATATTGATAAAAATTATGTGACTAATAATTAGTCAAAATGATAAAAGAAAAATCCAAGATAAAGAAATATATAAACATTCAGACTAAAATGGGTTTAAAGAAATCAAAGAGTCTTGGTCGTGAAGGATCTTAATATTCCTACAAGTCTTTAATACCAGAAAAATGATCAAAATAGTCTTTGATAATTTTATTAACTATTCGTTTAGTAATACAATATTTCGAAACTCTTGTGATTGTTATGTAAAGATGATTTTTTCACTTGTTTTCGGTAAACACATTGCATACGAAAGAACTAGCTTAACAAAAATTTCAATATATGCGAAATAAAATTGTCTGTATCAATCTTTGCAACCTAGGGATATCGATTATAAGGATGCTACCAACAACAACTGTCAGGATGATGACACCGAACACTCCAATAGTAGCAGATGACATCCGATGGTCAGACATGCTAGTCTTCGTTCTTCTGTAACCTAAAATAAGAAAAAAAATGATGTGAATCTTCAGAAAAGAGCATTAATCGTCTATCACTGTCCGTCTCTTATCAAGTTAAAAGTTTTGGTATATGGAAGTGTGTTGTCACATCAACTTGAAACTTAGTATACTATAAACTGAACTGTTAAATACATATTCCAAATTAGGGTTTTTAGCAAAATTTCATAATTCTATAGACATTAAAATGTGAAAGTACGAGCAAGGGATGGTGTCCTATGGACACATATTCTTGATATACAGGGGCGGATCCAGCCATTTTTTAAAAGGGGGTGTTCCAATCATATGTCCTTGGATTTCCCAGGACATGTGGACCTGTCACCATATGGGGATCCATGAGGGTGTGGACAGTTTTATTGTTTGGATAAACTTCATTTGTTTTTTGGTTAACATTACGAAAAAATGGCTTCACTTAAAAAAATTGTTTTATATTGCAGTTCACTGAAACTCATCTTTTGTTTGGTATTTGAATAGACACTTTCAATCCATGGAAGTAACCCATGTCACAATCAAGCTTTTCTGGACATTTTATTTCTCATTCAATTATATTTGTATTGGTAAAATAAATATTTTGTATCATATCTTTGTAGTTTGATGTTTTTATTTTTTTCTGACTTGGGTATGTGCGTTTTTATATATTAATTTGAATCAGACTTACGGTTTGTTTGGTTTTTGGATATGGTTAAGTTTTGTTTCAGTTCTTCTAGCCTTTCTGTCATCTCTCTAGAATTGATCTGAAGATATGGAACATTCCTATCCTCACACTTACATGAACATGACATGTCTACAAAAATACATTTGAACCGTTATGTGATTTCTATTGTCTAAAGCTAGATGTTACTAGATGTGAACGGTTATAAAAATAAGGATAATAATATATCCACCAAGTTCAAATGAAGTGGATGTAAGCAATTAAAGACAACCGTACGGCCTTCAACCACGAGAAAAACCCATACCGTATAGTCGGCTATAAAAGGCCGACATGTAAAATATGAAACAGGCATATTTCACATTTATTTAAAAAGCCATGCATAAGTCATAGCCATGAGGTACTGACAATCACGAAACATGGCTACTCAAATATACTGACGTTACGCACGATATTCGGCTGTCACTTTTGGTAACGTCGAATGTTAACGTAAAAAGCATGTAATATTGACGTATTGTAATATTGTCTTTCAGTATATCCTTTTTATACATTGTTTTATGTGATTTAAAGAAGATAAGGGTATACAACATGTGTTCTATAGTAAAAGGAAATGTTAATAATACGTATTGTGTTCTGTGAATGAAAGAAGATGTGGGATATACAGTACATTGCTATAAGGATTCGTCACTTACAATTTGTTGCTATATATTTCATTCAAATCTAGGTTTAAAACTCAAAAAAAATATTGAAGGGCCATTTCTGGTTGGATTTTAATCAACTTGATACCAATAGAAGCAGAGCTGTCATACGTTTATTTGTTTCTTTGGTAATGTATTTGTTTTGAAGCGTTAACTACCAATTTCTGATGATATAAACACATACTTCATTTTTTGTCCGTAAATTTGCTATATGTTCCAAACAAATTAAATTATAAACAAATTCAATACTTATTCTCATTAGGAGAAAACAAAAATAACTGGAGAAAAATTATGTTATATAGTGTAAACCATCATGTATAACAAAATATAGCTTAGTTTTTCTTGAAATTTCAAGCTTTACAAAACGTGAAAAAGATCAACACAAAATTTAAAGGCTTAATCGCTTCCTTAAATAGTAAATGAATGAGTAAAATAATGAAAAAATCTCTTTTTAAACTAATAAATATCATTGCTAAAAACAATATATAAGTACTCTCATCTTGTGCTGTAACACCAGATAAAACGGAAAATCTTTGAAAATAAAATTGATGGATCAGTGATTGTTGATGTTTATCGCCACTTTCAGCACTATTTGCTATAGAAGGAAAAGATGTTTTATTCCATCAAATGGGCTCACAAAGAACATATTACAATATAAGACAATATTTTAGGCAACAACAAAAAAGGCGTGCAATTTTTTTTTTATTGGTGGTGGAAGCCGGTGTGCCTGGAGAAAGCAATCGACCATCGACAGGATAAACAATGATCGGAGTCGAACGCTCTTGTTACGAGCGGGGTTCATCGAATTAACAACCTCAATGTTGACAGGTTGATAAACTTCTTAGATCGCTCGGCAAACGAGGCCTTGGAAATTCTTTTAATAATAGAAAAATAAAAAGATGTAGAATGATTGCCAATGAGACAACTCTATACCAGAGATCAAACGACATAGAAGTTAACAACTATTGGTCACCGTACGGCCTTCAACAATTAGCATTATTATAATTCATGTCAAAATTCCAGATTTTGATTGGTTAATACGAGAGAGACAATTTACTCTATCCCATCAAACACTCTATTACCCTTCACGGAGACGCTTGCTCAAGTGTGCGCTTTATTATACGGATGATTGTTATGTACAAGACGATAGTTTATTACTTTGAATTTGAAATTTAATAGACAGTAATAACAGAACATTCAGTATAATAAATTAAATAACACATATCTGAGAGGGTGATAGAGCAGATTGTTACCCCTCGAAAAGGCATTGACAACCTTGGCTTCGCCTCAGTTGACAATGTTTTCTCGGGGTAACAATCTGCTCTATCACCCTCTCAGCTATGTGTTATTTATATACAGTAAGCTATAAAAGGCCGAAATGAAAAATTTAAAACAATTCAAACGAGAAAACTAACTGCCTGATTTATGTACAAAACAATAAACGAAAATGTCTTTTTGCAAATGAATTTGAAATTATAATTATTTTTTTCAAACAACTCATGTTGTTTTCACTCTTTTTTGAAGATTTGTAACAACTTGTCCCTAATAATCCAAAGAAAAAATGAAGACGCTAACATTGTGACATTTTGGTAAACACCCTTTCAACGCATTCGCTATTCGGTACTAATCGATAAAAATATAATTGAATGCATAGAATATTTTCTTTTTTATTTCGAATTTATCATACTGGCTTCATTTTTCCGTTCTAAAATGCATAACACATCATTTTTCACTGTTTTCTGTAACCAACACCGGATTTACTAACGTAAAACGTTGGTTAAACGTTCTGTGACGGGAGACAGGTTTAATGCTAAAAATGAGATTGTGGTCCGAATAAATGCTGTTCAAATGTTATAGATTAGGAGGCATGTTATATTTTCTGACTAGATTAAATGTTTTGCACAGTTTTACTCAATATTGATAACAGTATTTTTTAAACGTTGTTGTGACAGTGGGTTGTGGGCTAGATTTTTAGTAATGATTTCAAAGTTTTCATGGGATTTACTCTTTTACATTGGATTTCTTTGTTTTCAAAGAGTTTTCCAATCTTGTTTTTACAAAAGGATAATGCGCTATCATCAATTTGATACCATAATACTCTCTCTATACATGGACTCTGAACAGTTGTGCCGTAAGGGAGTGATATTTTCCCTTGGTGTCTACAATCAATAATGACTTCTTTTAAGGTCTACTCGGTCCGAAAATTGGGTTATTTACGTCTTATACACATGTCGTTTCAAAGCCCTATCTTTCCTCTTCAAAATGGTATAGCATTGTTATATTTTATATACTTATAAGTACCCGAAAATAGGAGGAATACTAGAAGAACAACATTAGTATGTTACCCGTCTACACGAAAAATATAAGATTTTACACAAAATGACACTTGATCTTTCCGGTATTTTTCTTATTTAAAGCCGATTTTTGGTCACAGGTACATTAAATCAGAAAATGTCACCAATATTGTGCGTAACGTCACTGCTAACGTCAAATAAAAGATATTACGCATCCAGGCGAGGATCTAAGATTTGAGGTTACTTTCTCGATTTCATGGGGTCCGCCCTAATTTCTTTGCTATCTCAGTATTGGGCATCATACATAAAGAAAAAAGCTACTAACCTGTAAGTCTTTTATTGTGTGTGATATTCTCTTTTCTGTTGTTTTGTGTGCAGTTACACAAACATTTGAAGTCTGTAAAGTTAATTGTATGATATACGTTATGTAACTAGCCAGTGTCGTCAATTAAAATAACAAGTAACACAATACTTATTCATTATATTTTATACATAATTTTGGTGTCTGGATACAGTTTCATGCTCGGGTAAAACTTTAAAAAAATCTAAATACAGAACTTGCCGCCTTCTTAAAAAAGAGATATTGGTTATTGTTTTAGTTCAAAATACAAATGACCTATGTATCGCATTTTGCTTCATACCAGGGAAAGAAAATTTGATGACTGAGGTATTTTAATACGAAATAAACCTCGATCCTAGACAAGACATTTCATTCATTCGATATGAATTATATACGAAAAGAACAAATTTATGAAAACAAACAGTAATATACTAAGATGTTAAATCCTTAACAAACGTACTTTTCATAACATGTTGACAATATAGTCCGATGAATGCCACTTGCAAAACTTCAGAGGATTTAGATAAAAGTCCCTAACATTTTAAAAAGGGAAAACCCTGCAATCAATAAGAAAAACATGTAAAAATACTCCAATACAGTCATCTTTTGCAGTGGTTTGAATTTAAGATGAAACATTGTGATTAAATATTCATGCAGGTAAATTATTTTGGTAATTGCACAAAAACTTAGGTTGGCGAGGTTGACCTTAAACATTGTTCTGCTGAGGTGCTTTAATTTTTGGTGCTCTCAGTCTGGAAATGTTTTAGTATCGGATGGTAACTCCAGGAATGTGCAAAACGGTAGAATAAATTAATAAACTGCAACAAAAGGATCGGTAACGCTGTGGACTGTTAGTCTCCTAGGGTATACAAGATCATGCAAATTGCTACTGTCTCGCCATTGTCAAGATTTAAATGATGCATCATATTATTCACAATATCGGTTTATGTAATTGTACTGAAACAAAGTTTGCAATTATTTTCCTTTCAACGACTTCTTTCTTAAGTTTAATGTATAGAGAAGTCGTTGAAAAGATAAATACTTCCAGGAGGTATCGAAAGTGCAATACTGCAAGTCCGGCAAATCTTACCCTTCCTAAAAACACACTCATTTGCTTTTTTGTAATAAAAAATAAGCAGACTACAGAACTTTCATTTATCTCACATACCAAAATTAAATATATTCTAGCAAGCGGAGTCTTTTCGTCTGAATGCTTTCGACAACTTACTTTTGCCAGCGGCACCAGGGTCATTCATCAACACATCGTACAATACAACTCCCTCTGAAAAAGTTTTTAGCTTTTTAAATCTTTAAAAACCGTACTTAGTGGTATATAGTAGAACATCATAGTACAAGAGTGTTCTTAAATATTGTTAAAACTCTGTTCTTGTATATTACTAGGTGGTTGCTAAATTCAGACCATTCACCATTACTTTCTATTTTAATACCCCCATTTTACCAATTTGTGCCCGATGAAGTCAGATATTGATTTCTCTTCCCATGTATTGATGGTTAAATGTAAAAAAAATAAGAACAGAAAACATTCATCGTTTCCTTTTTTTTCTATTTTGAAAATCAAGCAATTTTGATTTAAAGGAGACGTTTTTATTTTAATCATGTTAGTATGTCCTAAATCAATTTTTAATTACAAATACCAAATGTAGTTTGCTAGATTAAATATATCTGAATTTTTATGTTAAAAATGGTTGTCATAATGTATAGCAGAGTCAAGTTATGAGTGTGTTTTTATTTGTGCTTGTCTTTCTCCTGAGCTGGTTTTGAAAATTTGAAGTGATGCAGCAACACAAAGTTGAAAAAAAAATTAAAAAAAGCAGACATTGCATGTAGAACAGTACAATATTTTGAACAAATGCGAGTGAGAGAAATTACATACCTTCACAACAGAATTTCAATTCAACGTTTTGTTGACATGAATTTTCTATTGTACATGTTTTTTTGTTGTTGCACAATGATTTCCATGCATCGAAATAGCTGTTGCAGACTTTGCTTGTGTTCTGTGATTCCATTTTTAGCCTTATTGTTCCATTTTGACAGAATATCTTAGTTTTGACGTTTGATTTAAGACTGACACGCGTGCTCTGCGTATTCCCTGAAACAAAAGTGATGAATTTCTGAAATGAGATTAATGGCGAAGTTTGAATGCTACTTCAAATATTGAAATCGTATCGTTTCTTCTATGATAGTGTTCTTGTATCGAATGCAGCAGGCTGTGCGTTTGTTTACCGGCCGAAAAAAAAAATCAAAATAAGAATTTGCTTTTATCCTCTAGGTACTTAGATCCTATAACTTAGATGCAGGGACGAGTTCAACATGGAGATTCAAGGGCCCACTTCCTTAATGGGCGAACATTTGTTTCTTTGGTACGTCGATCAAATTTATGCAGTCGCTCCTTCTTTGCAAAACAGTTGTATAGTTGATGTCTTCTTGAAATATATATACAAAGTACCTCATATCTATTTAAATTCATAGACCATTTTCTAATGTACATCTACTTAAAACAAATGTTTATTGTTAACAAACTTACTGATGTTCTTATTAAAGATAATAACTGGTAATTTTCCCGTATAAAAGATTTCTACTCTTACCTTTATTGGTGTTAACAAGGAGCAATAGAATCGTATAGAATCCATACATCCTCCTAACTGCACAGTATGTCAATACCCTGTCTTATCTAGATACTTTACAGTCTCCACAGCAGTATTTGTCAACCGGTTAGTTTAACCTCGTATTTTCTGCCTTTATTTAATTAAACCTTATGTAAATGGAAAAGCAATAGAACCAATACTTTTCATAGAAACAGTAAAGATGTGAAGTGTATTCAGGGCTATAGTGAAACTATAACAAATATGATGTAAACGGTATTTCAGTTCAAATTGAAGCCAGTATGTGTCAATAATAAAGTCCTTTCATGACTAAGGTATGATCAAGTGTGACACTAGGTGAGCCCTCCATTTAAATCAAATACGAAATGAAGTTTTTCAGCTATCATGCTATCCGTATTAACAACCATTGTTGCTTCCACTTGTCCATTTTTTTTAAAGAAGGTTCAAGAATAAGGGACACCTGTGTCAGATTTACATCAGAATACTAATAACTTTCAAGGGAACTGTTTCTCTTAACAAATATTTAATTTCTACTCTGCTAAGAAAAATAATAAAACTACTTGAAATTATCAAAGCAATAGTCGCCGAATTAGAAATAGATTTGTATTTGGTGACTCGTAATTGTGTGTTGCATGAAATGCCTTGAGCATCCATCTCTTATTTCTGACATGATTTTGAAGAAAGGTTAAATTTTGCAGATTTTCTCCACTTTAATCAGTTTTCTATAACCACAATAGTTTTAATACTGTAAAATGCATCTCAAAATTTTAATCTGCTTTCATGGATATGTCCTTTAATGTCGACAAAAAATAACTGAAAGTATGTCTATTTTATCTCTTGAAGAGTTCAAATTATATCAATATTACCTAAAACTTGTTCAAAACAGTTTAAACCTAATGAAACGTTCATTTTTGCATGACAGTAAGCATGAATAAAAGACACATAGAGAGACCATCTGAAGAGTTAAATCTGAAAATGCATTGTTTTTGATTTGACGTTTTATTCTCAATTTTCTTGAATCTTTCTCGTATTAACCGGCATACTCTTAAAAACGTGAACAACAACAACAAAAAACAAAACACTCAAACTGATACAACATCAGGACTTTCAGAACTAAGACTGTAGAAATAGGTATATTGGAAGAACTTACTATTCTCTATATAGATAACTTTTTAGATTTTTTTCCTTAATATTCTGTAAAGAACATTTTAAAAATGAGTGTAACAAGCAATAAATGCAGTTTTCTTGGAAATATTGAAAGAAGAACAGTATATGCATTTACATTTTTATTTTATTATAGTTTAACAGTTTCTAGCCGTGGCCCTTGTGCCCTTTCGGTTTTTGATGCTTTCGACGTCATCAAAATATTAGAATATGTCCATTATATTTCTTTTAAAATAATGTCAAAGTTATATCAATATAATAAATAAAAGTTTATCCAGAAACGTGTGTTTTGCATACGAAAATATATAATTTTAAAATTTAGATGTGATATGATTGCCTATGAGACAACTATCCACCAAGGACTTATCGACAACGACCTGTCAATTCAAAAGAGAAAACAAACGGTCGGATTTAATCTAAAAATAACATCAAAACAATTATCGTGGACGATAACCCAAAAGGGACATTCAAACGCATAAGTCGAAAATAAACTGACAACGCAATGGCTACAAAAGAAAAAGACAAACAGACAAACAACAGTACACAAAACACAACACAGAAAACTAAAGTCTGAGCACTAAAAACTGGGGGTGATCTCATGTGCTCTTGAAGGATAAGCAGATCCCGCTACACATGTTGTGTTGCTCATGTTCCAAGCTTGCATCGTTTATGGCCATACAGAAAGTATTAGGGTTAGCATGTTAAAAATAGTCCAAATCTCACAATATTCTGGACCTGTGTTATTTGAAACAGTCGAACATAAGAACAAATATTGAAATCAGTTAAAAGGGCTTGTATTACCTTGTCTAATATGTTTCTGTATGTGCCTGTTCCAAGGCGGGAGCCAGTAATTCAGTGAATGTCAATTGTTTGCTGTATATCATAATTGTTTTTCGTTTATTGTTTTGTACATATATTAGGCCGTCATCTTTCTCGTTTGAGTTGTTTTACATTTTTCATGTCGGGGCCTATTATAGCTTGGCATGCGGTATGTGTTTCGCTCATTGTTGGAGGCCGTACGGTGACACACACGCATATATATATATATATATATATATATATATATATGGTGGCGGATCAAGTGGTCTAGAGCGCTGGACACAGTGCAGGCGGTGTTGTCTCGTTATCCCAATAGCATGAGTTCGAATCCTGGCGAGGGAAGAACAAAAATTTGCTTCCGCAAATTTGCAGATTTAGCATTGTTGTGCTGATATTAAGAGTAGTTATGAATATAAAATGTGTTTTCAGCCGTGTATCACATTCACTGGTGATCCAATGGATGGATCTGTCGTAGAGTTGTCATTTTTTTAG